CCGTATGTCCGACGCAAATTCGATGCTAAGACTATTTTTTATCGAATTATTGTCATATTTATGTTAGATTTGGTCCATGTTAATTAAAAAAAATCCTTCGGTGTAAGTAATTTATCAAATGAAGAAACTTTGACTACCATTAATGAATTTTGTTTATAGCATATTGCAATTCATTATCAACTTGAGTATGATATAAATTTTGATTTACATGCTACTTTTTTAGTGGAATACTTAATTTAATCCAAATAAGGAAAGTTCATCATAAGTTAAATCTTCATCCACCACTTTAGATGGATTATCAATTCCAATCAAGTGCATGACTACTTTCTCTTGCTCAAATTGTTCGGTTGATTGTTCTTCATTCCTTGAAATTACCCATACTTAATGCTTTTGTGTACTTTTTGGTGCACACGTTTCTTTCTTTCTGTTTTTACATAACGAATTATCGAACTTGAAGTGATCAGAGTCATTGCACTTGAAACTCATTTGGATTTTTTTCATGCCTACAAATTTAGTTTTTTATTTTAGCTAAAAATTATGATTTATTTTACTATCTCTATTAATGAAAAGGTTTCTCTTGAGCAGCCTTCCAAGATAGCTAATGACTTCTATTGGTCATCATGATCACCCAAGTCAAGATAGTTCAAAGTTGCCTTATTTTATCATTTTTTAATATCAATTTACAAGTCTTCCTTTCTCGTAATATTTTTTTTTTAATTTTTATTTTTTTTTATTTTTTTATTTTTTGTTTATGCATTACTAAGTTACTATACAATGATCATTAGTTAGTGTAGAAACCCAAATCCTTAGTTAATAGTTGTTATTTTGAGATTCAACTCTTTTAGCAAACATCACAAGATCATATTTATGTATTTGTGACAGGAGTTCTCCTTACCATGAGCATGGAATCCATTAAAAATTTTAGTGAATCAAACGAACATCATCATAATGATTTTTCCAAACTTCATTCTAAATAATTCATATTTCTACTTTAAATTATAAATACATTGCTTCCTTCATCCATTCCCTTATAAGTGAAACCTAATTTGTTTCAAATCCCCTTTTGTACTTCTAATGCTTAAATTTATATAATTTCAATGTTTTAAAGTGCAAAAAATCATTTACACTCTCTCTATATTAAATAAACTCAAATCCATTTTTTTATAAGTATATTCTTCAATGGGACTTAGAATTTCATTATCTTATATAGAAATAATATTAAGGTTTTTATGCTCTTCAAGATTAAGATTCTAAATTATGACGTAAATTAACTAAATACATTATCATTATATTTTCTTATAAAAAAGGCCAGTCATCATGTGGATTGCCATTAATTTATTTTTTTTATTATTGCAATTAGAAGTAATATTTTTAAGAGAATAATGTAATTCATATGGATTGTTATTTAAATATGAAGCAAAACATTACAGAGCCATGGCTCTTTTATTAATTAGTGTGATGCCCTAAAGAGAGATTGGATTGGTCTTTTAATATTTTTAAAGGACTTCTACTTCATAATAATTATGAAGCAAACAAAATAAAGATTAAAGTTGCAATAGTGAGTAAATGTTATAGTTAATATAACTAACCATATGAACAAAAAATCATTTGATTCAACCATAACATATACCCATATATAGGTTTTCACTACATCTAGAATTTCTTAAACATTCTATGCTAAATAAAATTGTTACTTCTTTAATGTGAAAAATTATTTACACCAATCTTCTCTTCATGATAGCCTCCCTTCAATCGAGTTGGTATCTTAATATCCTTTGTGACAAAAATATATTCTTAATGTGTTTTCTATTAAAATATTTATATAAAACATATGGTTCGAACTATAAGAAAAAAATGAGTACAAAAGAGAAAATGGGTTCTTACAAGCGATGATTTCTAGTATAAAGAAACTAAGCTCAAAATAGCATTAACTATTGTTGAATTTCTTTGTTATTAAGAAGCAAGTTTCTTTCATTTTAGATCTAGGAACTTTTTAAGTTCTTGTTGGAGAAAGAAACTTTGGTGGCTAGTTTGGATATCAAAGTAACCTAGAGAATGTGGCATATAAGCATTTTATTTTAACCAAAAGTATTAATTAGTTATTTATATTAGATGACTAAAACTTTAAATAATAAATTAAAAATAATTTAAAAATTCAATATTTGTGTAGGCAACTGTTACTTAAATTTAACAAAATTATTTCACTTGATTTGATTCTAAATGAACAAAATCTCATCATTATATATTTTAAGATGTAACCTTTATGAAGGCTAATCAATTTTTATAAAGACCGATAAAATAGTTATAGACTCTTAAAAATTTCTTCTGAAGACTTGTCATAGTCATTTTTTATACATACAATATCTTTAATCTTTATGGAACATTACAACACTCTTTGATAGCTTGTAATTATTTTATGGATTCTTTTGAAATTTAAGACGGCTTGAATTGCCCTTTTTTTTTCATTTTCCTTACACCACATTTAAATCATCATTATTGAAATCTCTTTTTAATTAATTATTTTTATGATTGTAAAAAACAAAAATATATACACTCTATGTAAATGGATAATTTAATACTTAACTAGGGCAATATTTTGTTTTCTTACTAATATTAATTTATTCTCACTTGTTTGTTTGCCTAAAATATTTCAAAACTTTGTGTTTCATAGATTATAAACCAAGACAATATATTATTCTTATGCTTAACAAAAGCCTTTATGTGATTTATTCTAATGATATACCTAATTTCTACAATCATTTAATTTTAAAATCCAATAATGTTATACTTTATTATTATCAAATCTTATAAAATGTCATGGGTATATGATAATAAGGGCTTGTTATATTTTGATTGTGTCTTGTTTTTTTTTCCTTTTTTTAATTTTTTTCTTATGAGCTTTGGGTTTTTAATTTTCTTTGTAAAAAATTAGGTTCATGTATCTAATGTGTGCTTTAATTGTCATGAGTTGTTATCCCTTATTTTTAATAAAATTTTCATGAATAAAAAAAATAATAAAGTTATATATGAAAAGATCTATTATTGACTTTAGCATCCTATATATACTGAGTCCCCATTATGCTTTGTCTATAGCTTGTGTCTTTTTGTTTTAGATAAAATTTAGATTTTTTTTTTTTCATCTTAAATGTAATAGGTTCTTGCTTTATGTGTGAACATTAAAGAAGGGGTCATGACATGAATTGCATCCAATGTTTTTATTTACTTCAATGAAATTTTCATGAGTGAAATAAAAAACAAAATAAAACTTCATATGAATAGTAATAATGAAATATCTTATCTATTTAATCATATCTAACCAAACTATATAAACCCATGTCTTATATTTGTAACCTCTACCATCTATATTCTCCAAGCCTCATTTTATTCTGCTCATTATTTCATCCTTAACTTTAAACAAATCTTTACTCTTGTACTGCAAAGAAATAATTTGTGTGACTCAATTCATAACTTTCATATCATAATCATGACTTCCTTTCAACCCTATGCTAGAGGATATGGTGATTGTTATCCTAGAAAGCTCTCCACACTAGATCATGAAGCATAAGAACTGAATAAAATCATATTAATGCTATTTTAAAACTTGATTTTTCTATTAAAACAATAATCCCTAAACTCTAAACTCTCTACAGTATATATTTGCAAAATCCTAAGCCAAAAACACTTGATTCCTCCAAGGAAGACCCTATTAGTTCCATTAAAACAGCCCCAACAGTAACTAGAACAACTCAACCGACACGTTAAAACATTAGCACTATGCCAAAATAAGATCCAAGCTGTTTTCACAAAAGAAGGCCTATTGCCATTACCCATTGGAACCTATCATCTTTCTCCATAAAGCAAGCTTTTTAGCTAAAATTTCACGAGGAAATATAAGCTCCCATCTCATCTTTTTATTTATGGGTAATTTCTCCCCTACTTTATTAAAAATCACAGTGCAAGACGTGCGTCCATTTATGACATTTACAAAACCTATTTACTCATCATGACATCCTCCAGAGATTGCAATAGGAGTCCTCTTGTCCTCACATCCATCACTACTCCCCCACATATACATCAACCTATCTAGCAAACAATTGAAATGAAACACTATAGCTCATGTCCTCATGACATAGGCATAACATGATGTAAATAAGTCAAACTGATGCCAAGAATGTCATAAATCAGCAGCCTACTTGTCTTTTTTTGACATATAATTCTGTTAAATGAACCCCAACATCTCCTGTCTAAAACTACACCATTCTTCTCATATTTCTTTTTTCTCACTGAACAAAAGAGCTAGGAAACCTAATTGCATTTTCCATAACAGAAGACTACAGCAAAGTAATCACTCAACTCGATTGAAATGGATGCGTCCAATCATTAAAAGAAGTATCTTTACCACCAAATTTTACCCAAGCAAAGCTATACTCCACCCAAAAAAGAAACTTTCATGTGCCAAAGTACATGCAGCTAACGATCATATCAAACTACACCCTCCTATTACCATAAAAGGTATGAAAATCATGGACCCAATTAGCCTGCCACAATTCATGACCTCTCCACTACATCATACACATTCATACCTAATAATTAATCACAATAAATTTCAAAAATAACACCAAAAAAAAAAAAAAAAACATCTATCTCTTTTGCGCTGGCTACATTCACCCTTCTAATCATCTCCTCCATCGCCAATTTCGTTCCACTTTCCCTTCCACCATGAACAGCAACTTCCAATACCAACAGTATCATATAAACAAATTCAAATCAGTCCAAACAAGCAATGAAATTAAGTCCACAAATTCCAATATATGAATTCAGCTCTAAACCAAGTGCAGCAAAAACTAATACCCAACCAATACTCATAAGTCCGCACACCTATAATATTCATGCGTATATATAAATAAATATATATGTATATATTACCAGTTTCTAGATCTCAAGCGAAGCCGGCAGAAGGTGGGGAGCCATGTTGTTCAGCTGAAGCGGAGGCGACCGGTAGGCGACCGGTTTCTTCCGCTTCTTCTTCTCATAACTAATCCCTCTGGCCTTTGATTGTATGTCACGCACCTCACGGAGATAAAGCCGGACCGCACGTGCGCCAAAAGGGTTGGTTTCAGGGCGGCCTCCATTCTCTTCATAAGCGGCGCGGAGTCGGCCAATAAGGGCGTCGAGGCTGCCCCAGGCTTGGCGGAGAGGACAAGGGCAGGGGGCAGGTTGGTTAGGGTGGCCGTAAAAAGGGCACATCTGGGAGTGAACTTTGGTTTTACCGAACTGATCCAAGTAGCGGAGGAACTCGAGAACGTGCGCTCCGCTGCAGCGTTCGAGGGAGAGGGGAGGGCGGTGGTTCTTTAAGTATTGGCCGAAGGTGTTCCAGTCCCGGCGTTTTTGTGATTCGTAGGGGCTTGGGGAAGGGGAGGAGGAGGAGGAGGAAGGGGGGGTGGGGGAAGAGGATGAAGGGTTGAGTGGGAGAGGGATGAAGTCGTCGGGGGGGGTGTCCATGGATAGGATTAGGGTTTGGAGATTATGGTTTTTGGGTTTTGGTGCATGGTGGGGAAGAGAGAGAAAGGGAAGTGGATTATGATGATGATGATGATGATGATTAGATGATGTTCGAGGGAGGAGGAGGGAGGGAGGAGGGAGGAGTGAGATCTGTGTGTTTGATTGTTGTTTGACAAGTGAGTTTTGGGGGAGAAGAATTTTGCTGGTTGCTCAGAATGTAAGATAGCTTTTATTAGTGGATTATTTTTGTGAGACAGCAATTGACACTCAGAAAAAAAAAAGGTTTTTTTAGTGAATTTTTTAATAGGATTTTTAATTCTGAAAATTTTAAAAAATTTAAATTAATATTTTTAAAAAAAATAGAAGGGAGAAGGAAGATATAGAAGAATATGTTTTAAAAATAATTCAATAAAAATAGAAGAAATTTAAATGAAAAAAAAAGTGCTTTTTTTTTTCTTTCTGCTTAAATATCATTCATTTGTTTAAGTTGGGTTCTGTCGTGATTGGACCAGATTGTTGTAGATAGGAAGACAGATTCGTCGGGGAAGAGGGGGAGGAGGGGAGAGGACGATGGTATGGCTGTAAATAAGAGAAAGATTTGACTGAGTTGAAAGGTTGATGGAGACAAAAGTGGAGGGGGGTCGGATGACCATGGAGGAATACTTTTAATTGCAATCAATGCAGCCACCATGTGAATACCTATGGATTAGCGAACAATATTTTTTTGCATAGCTTATAAACTTTGGCAGATCTAGTTAATTCAATATTATTTTCTATAATTATAAAATAAACCCGTACAAATCTATGTATATAAAAAAGCTCCCCTAATGCTATTCCATACAACCAAAGTTGATTGGATATTCTTTCACAAATTTTTATTTGCTTACTTACATCACTATTCTTTTATATATGTAGCACTGAGTTCTCTAACATCAAATTACACATATCATTATTAACATTTAATGCATAATTCTGTAATTGTATGATAGAAGATGGTCATGCTAGGCCATTAAGAGTTAAAGTAGGCTTAGTGGGCCTTTCGACACAATCCACCAAAGAATCAATTAGACGAGCAACTGAGTATGAGTTATTGAATACGAGCAATGGAGTATGAGTAGCCGGGTATGAAAGACTACCTAACAAACAACTTTCCTATAAGGCAAATCAAAGAGGGATCCATCAGATGATCTCATCATTTCATCAAGAGCCACCCTATCATCCTCTATTGACCTGTAGAACAATAGCCTGCCCACTCCCAAAAAGCAAGCTAGTCTTAGAGTGAATTCTAAAGCATAAGGGTGAATAGGCCGAAAAATGTGACCTAATAAAGTGTGCAGAGGATAGAAGGTAAAATACAAAGACGACGGGAAATAACATGCCATAAATAATATTGTGTATACGCTCGAGATACACACGACAAATATAAGTAGTTGGAGATTCACTTAGATGTTAGTATGATCATAATATACATAAATTTATAAGAGAAATGACATAACAATCTCAGCTCATGCACAGCAAGGAGTGGCTCTCCACCTTCTGACAACAATAAGGCTCATCATTACTTGACAAATGTTTATATTTTTTATTTTACCCTTATTTCTATATCTCTCTAGAACCTTATGTAGTAGCTATATATTTTCTTTACTATTGTTTCATCAGTAGAATGAAAAGGAAAGCATTTCTTCTCATACCATTTCTCTTCTTCCACAAGTCATATTTCTTTCCATGCTAACTATCTCCGCTTGAATCCCTTTACATTTTCTTGATATTAGTGTTTTCGCTGGTCATTCTCTACTTTGTCCAACTAATTGTGCTTTGCAAGACCTTTTTCTTAGTATCGGAGCCAAAGGCTTACAACTTACATGAAGGACTCTGCAACTACGAAACTTAACAATGCCCTTGCTACTCTCAAAGTGGAAGAATACATCTTACCCCCTCCCTGAAATTCCTCATTTTCAATATAAAATCAGTGGTAACCATTTCCCTCATCATTGATAATTACAATCTATGGAAGTCTCAAGTATTGAAGATCATTATAACAAATGTTTTTGCTGGTTTTATGAACGGATCCATTCCAAAGCCTCCTCCTAACGATCCTGGGATGTCAACCACAAACTTTGCGCTCAATACATGTGCACTAATTGATCCAAACTTGGTTGCAACAATTCTCTCCACCATCCCCAGCACCATACTACCTTACGTGATTAATCTTGAAAGTTATCGTTAAATTTGGGAGCTATTGGAGAAACGCCTTCAAACCACGAATCAATCTAGAGCAATTCAAATTAAAAATTAACTACATAATGCGACAATTAAAAACTAAACCAAGATGCAATACCTCACCCAAATCAAAGTGTTGGTTGACATCATCTCTGCATCTTAATCATTCATCGACATCGAGGACATCATCCTGTACACACTCAATGGCCTTCCTACCGCATATCACACGTTCAAAATGGTCATTAAAACAACCCTTACCCCACTTAGCTTGGAAGATGTATACCATCTACTTCATAGTGAAGAGATTAACAATCCCAACAACAATTCCACCAACCCACAACCATCTGACAACCACACCACCTTATATTCTCAGTGTGGATGAGGTTGCATCACCTATATAGGGAGAGGACGATACAACAACAGGCGTTCGAATGACCCAGCATAAAAACCAACCAAAACTAGCAACCAAGTCATGTCTAATATGTAATAAATAAGGCCATACCTCACTGCAATGCTAGCACCGCTTGAACCTATACTATCAACCGAAAATGCCTATTCCCATGGCACTAATCACAGCTTCCTCCACTGATCAAGCATGGTATCTGGATACTGTCACATCATACCATCTTACGACAGAATACAACAACCTTCAACAACCAACACCCTATCATGGAGAAGAGCAAGTATTCATATGTAATAGTAATTTCATACCCATAAAAAATTGAGCCCAAGGCTTATTGCCCACACCAACAGTGGTCGACGGAGGTTAGCAGTGATCGGTGGTGGTCGACGGTGGCCGGCGGTGGTTGACAGAGGTTGGCGGCGGTCGACGGCAGTCGGCACTGGTCGACGGAGGTCGGCGGTGGTAGAAGGCGATCAGCGATGACCTCCATCGACCCCCGCCGACTGTCCTCGCCACCGTTGACCGTCATCGGCCACTGTCGTCCACCGTCAACTTCTGTTGACCCTCGTCATCTATCGTCGATCACCACTAATCATCATCAATCACCACCAACCTGATGTTATCAGTCGACACTATAATTTGAAAATTTAGTAATCCTTTCCTGTCTATGGGACAAGGGATTTCTGTAATCATCAATCAATAGTGGATTTCCGCAATTGGGTCAGGCCCCGTGATTTTTCCTTTTTTGGGTTTTCCACGTAAAAGTTTTTGGAGTCATCACTGTTTGTTTCTCTTTTACTTGTGTGTGTGTTGAATTCTCGTACAATGCTAAGACGATAATTTGTTACTCCACCGCCCCAGATTTTTCTAGCACGCATCAGTTTAGTGTCATTGGTGGGAAAGTTTTAATCTCACAATTAAAGTACTTACGCGGTTTAATACATGGCCACCAGACACAATATTCATGACAACGGAGCATCCCGCTCCAATACCCATCGTTCTAGAGAGCAGTCGCGAAGCCAAGGGCGTCATGCTTATTCATCTTCCCACCATGGAAGATGTCATTCTGTCAACGAAGGCATTTCGATTCATTCTATAGAAGATCGAAAGCGCAGAATGGAGGAGTCTCAACTAGAAGTCACCCCAGCGGGAGCCTAAACAGCCGCTGCCTACATCATTGGATGAAATTCGTTTACCATTTACTCCGTGACCTATGAGAAACATACCGCTTGGAGGAACTCGAATTGGCTCGCCTCCTTAAGAAGGAACACTTCCCCTGTCAGATGATGTCATTCGTAACAAAATACGATGCCTCGTCCAGGAAAAGTTCCCTCTAGAGAAAAAGGATTGTTTCTACACTCAACGTAACATACATGAATCCTCTCCCTTAGTGGATGCAGTCCTCCAACACCCCATCCAACAGGCTTTAAGCTTCTGAACATCAATACACAGGAAGGGATAACTGACCCCTATGAGCATATTGATCATTATCGAACCATCATGCACATTCAACGTGCCTCTGATGCGCTTCTGTGTCAAGTATTCCCGACTACTCTTAAAGGACAAGCTCGAACCTGGTTCTACTCTCTGTCAGGGGGTATTGTAAACACCTTTAATGAAATTGTCAGACTGTTTGTGGAACAATTCGTAGCAAACTTACAGATTATCAATGATTCATTCCATCTCTCGGGAATTCGTCAAAGTGAAGGAGAATCACTGAAGGACTACGTCTGCAGGTTTTCTACTGAAGCCCGACAGATTCTGGGAGTAGATCCAGAGTTACTAAGAGGAGTCTAATTTGGGGGGCTCCGCTCATGACCCTTTTACTCATCATTGATGCGAGAGACAGTTCATTCTTATGTTGACCTTGTTTCATTCTTATGTTATGTTGACCTTGTTCACCGTGTTGAGACACAAATCTCTGCAGATGAGGCCATCATTGCTCACAAAGAACAATTTGAGCGATTAGGGGGCAAGTTCAAGAATAACGCTAGGGATAACAATCAAATCTCACAGCGAAAAAAGTTTAGACCACAGAGAAACCGGGAGCAACGATCAGAAAAAAATACACGCCACTCAACACATCACGTGTTGACATCTTAATGACAATCAAGGATGAAAAAACTATCAAGTGGCCAAAGTTGTTGAGAAATCCATATGGTAGAGACCAGTCTCAATATTGTCATTTCCATCGAGCAAAATGACATTCAACATAAAGATGTTTTCAATTAAGGAAGAAATTGAACGTCTAATAATCCAAGGTCACCTGGGTCACTACTTACAAGAACAATGTGAGGGGAATCAGAAGATAATCTTTGGAGTTATCAAATAGAAGTATAACTCCATCTCATCTTATCTGAGTAAAAAATTGGCTTATAAACTCTTAATTTTATTTTAGCAAAATTTTCATGTTGCTTTAAAATTTCATTTCATTGAAATTTTCTCACTCAACTCTTAATCTTATTTTCTTACCAATGATCTTTCGTGATTAGTTGTCCGGACGTACCATCAAATATTTTCTCATGAAAGGGAGTAAAAAAAAATCCCTCACAAAATAGACCAAATTTTGTGTTGTATATATAAAGGATGGCACTAATACATCGGGACCTTTTTT